TGCTGAGGATTTTTCCATCAATATTCATCAGAGATACTGGCCTGTAGTTTGTTTTGTTTTTTTTGCCACACAAGCCTCCTGAGTAGCTGGGCCTGCAGGTGCACACCACCATGCCTGGCTAATTTTTGCATTTTTTGTAGAGACAGGGTTTCCCCATTATGGCCAGGCTAGTCTCAAATTCCTGACCTCAAGTGATCCACTTGCCTCAGTCTCCTAAAGTGCTGGGATTACAGGTGTGAAGCCACCACACCTGGGCTAGTCTTCTTTTGATGTGTCTTTGGTTTTGCTATCAGGGTAATACTGGCCTCACAGAATGAGTTTGGAAGTATTCCCTCCTCCTCCATTCTTCAGAATAATTTGAGAATTGGTATTAGTTATTTAAATGTTTGGTAGAATTCAGCAGTGAAGCCATCGGGTCTCAGGCTTTACTGGGAAACTTATTACAGCTCAGATCTCATTACTTGTACTGGTTTGTTCAGGTTTTGGATTTCAATTTCATGGGTCAATTATGGGAGGTTGTATGAGTCTAGGAATTTATCCATTTGCTCTAGATTCTCCAATTTATTGGCATATAGTTGCTCACAGTAGCCACTAATAATCCTTTAAATTTCTGCAATATCAGTTGTAATGTCTTTTACCATCTCTGATTTTATTTGAGTCTTCCTTTGTAAGTCTGACTAAAGGTTTTGTCAATTTTATGTTTTCAAAAAACCAACTTTTGTTTCATTGATCTTTTGTATTATTTTCTTCATTTCTAATTCATATATTCCTGTTTATTATTTTTCTACTAATTTGGGGTTCAGTTTGCTCTTGCTTTTCTAGTTCTTTAACCCTTTCCTGTTTAGAAAAAAAAGTGCAGCTTGCTGCCAGTGCTCAATTTTACATAAACATGTTCTCTGAGGCTGAGGCAAATCCGACTGATTTTCAATGTGAAAATAAAATATAAAAACTGTTCTTAGAGTTATTTCTAAACAAAACTAACATCAGAATCATTGGAATCATCAGAATCAACTATTTCAGAAAAATCAGATCCGCCAAACAAATCTTCAGTCAACAACTGCTTGAGAATGATCTTAAACATCACCCGTAGGAATGCTACATTTTCTAGGCTTTGACAATTTCAGCAATCGAGAATTACTGCATTTTGTAAATAGAAATACCACTACTAAAAACAATGTTACAAATAGAAGGATGTGTTTTGTTTCCAAAGTAAATACACTACAGCAATGTGAAAATAATAAAAATGAGCTATTTCATCGCAAAGTTATCTTAAGGTAAACACTGCAGTCGTAAGGACCCCTGGCAAGTATTCTTGGGGCAAATGGGAAAAGAGTGACGATGCATCATTAGGTTATTTGAAGTTGTTCTTCTTTTTTGATGTAGGTACGTATAGCTATAAATTCCCGTCATACATACTATTTTTGCTGTATCTCATAGGTTTTGAGATGTGTTTCAAGAAAATTTTCAATTTCCTTCTTAGTTTCTTCATTCACCCACTGGTCATTCAGGGACATACTGTTTAATTTCTATGTGTTTGTATAGTTTCCAAGATTCTCACTATTGATTTCTACTTTTAATCCATTGTGGTCAGAGAAGATGCTTATTATTTCAATGTTTTGAATGTTTTAAGACTTGTTTTGTGACATAACATATGCTCTATCCTTGATAATGATTCATGTGCTGGGGAGAATAATTTTCAGTATTCTTCAGCCTTTGGATGAAATGTTTGGTAAGTATCTATTAGATTCATTTGTCCCACAGTGCAGATTAAATCTGATGTTTCTTTGTTGAGTTTCTGCCTGGAAGATCTGTCCAATGCTGAAAATGGTGTGGTGAAGACGCCAGCTATTATTGTATTGGGAGCTCTCTCTTTAGCTCTAATAATATTTAGTTTACATATCTGCATGCTCCAGTATTAGCATATGTATTTACAAGCATATCCTGTTGCTGGATTGACCCCTTTATCATTACATAATGACCTTTTTGTCTCTTACAGTGTTTGCCTTGAAATCTATTTTGTCTAATATAATTATAGCTACTCCTGCTCTTTATTAGTTTCTAATGGCATGGAATATCTTTTTCTATCCCTTTGTTTTCAGTCTAGGTGTATCTTTATAGGCTAAATGTGTTTCTTGCAAGCAATAGATCATTGGGTCTTGTTTCCTCATCCATTCAGCCACTGTGCTTTGATTGTAGAGTTTAGTCCATTTACCTTCAATGTTATTATAGATAAGTAGGGACTTACTCCTGCCATTTTGTTGTTTTCTGGTTGTTTTGTAGTGTTGTTTTCCTTCTTGCCTTCCTCCCTGTCTTTCTTTTAGTGAAGGTGGTTTTCTCTGGTGGTATGATTTAATTTCTTGTTTTTTAAATCCATTGCATATTTTTAGATTTGAGGTTACTGAAAGGCTTACTGCAAGTTATAATTCATTATTTTGAACTGACAACATTGATTGCATAAACAAGCAAAAATAAAATAAAAAAAACCTCTCTTCCCCCCTCACCCTCCGCCCTCCCTCTCCCATGGCCACCACCACTGGGACTGCATTGGATCAAACCTGAAGCCAGCACAGCACCAGGTCTTGCCAAAGGCCCGCTGTAACCACTACCTGACCACCACCTACCCCTTTCTCTCTCACACTGTGGCCACCACCACTGGCACTGTACTGGATTAGACCTGAAGCCAGCACAGCACCAGGTCTTGCCAAAGACCTGCTGTAACCACTACCTGACCATCACCTACCTCTCTCTCTCTCCCACTGTGGCCACCACCACTGGGACCGCATTGGATCAGACCTGAAGCCAGCACAGCACTGGGTCTTGCCCAAGGTCTGCTGTAACCACTACTTGACCACCTATATTCACTCAAGGCCCTAGAGTTCTACAATCAGCAGGTGGTGAAGCCAACTAGGTTTGTGTCTTTCCCTTCAGGGTGTCAAGTATCCCCAGGCCCTGGGCAGGTACAGAGATGCTGTCTGGGAGCCAGGGATTAGAGTCAAAAACCATAAAATTTTGCCTGATGTTCTATTGTACTGTGGCCAAGTTGGCACTCAAATCACAATATGAAGTCCTTCCTGCTCTTCCTTCCCCTTTCCATTGGCAGAGGGGCTTCTCCCTGTGGCCACCACCACTGGCACACAGGGGATTCTGCTAGGCCACCACCAATGTTCACTTAAAGCCCAAGGGCTTCTCAGCCAGCTTGTGGTGAATGCTGCCAGGCCTGGGACTCACCCTGAAGGGCAGTGGGCGCCCAGGGCAGGGTCCAGAAATGCTGCCCAAGAGCCTAGGCTTGGATTCAGGGACCCCAAAAGCCTCAGGGACCCCAAAAGCTCTATTGTGGCTGAGCTGGTACCTAAAGTGACAAGACAAAGTCCTCTTTACTTTTCCCTCTGCTTTTCTCAAACAAGAGGAGTTTTTCATCATAGCCACTACAGTTGGGAATGTGCTAGGTCACACCTGAAGTCAGCATGTCTCAGAGCCCAAGGCCCACAGCATACTATCTGGGTATCGCTGCTGGTAGTTCACAGCCCAAGGACTCTTTAGTCAGCAGGTGATGAATCCTGCCAGAACAAGGTCCTGCCCTTCAAGACAGTGGCTTCCCTATTGACCCAAGGTGTGCCTAGAAATGTTCATGAGCTAGGGGCTGGAATGAGGGCCTTGCGACTCTACCCAGTGCTCTACCCTACTGTGGCTAAGCTGGTATCCAAGATGCAAAGCAAAGTCCTCTTTACTCTTTGCTTTCCTTTCCTGAAGCAGAAGCAAGGAGTCACTTTCATTGCGGCCTGCCTGGGCTTGGGGGAGGAGTGGTGCAAGAACTCCCTTAACTGCACTGGCTGGTGTCTACCTAGGTCATCTGTCACCCTAGTCCTCTGGCTCTGAGCCCATCCAGCACTAGGAGTTGCCTAGGAATTAACTGCAATCTTTGTGTCCTAGACTGCCTTTCAAGTTTACCTAGGACCCCAGAGCACTTTGGCCCACGGTGGCAAGACTTGCCAAGAAACTCAAGTTCTGGTAGCTGAAATGGAGAATTCCACTCTGGCTAGGTCTGGTCCAAATGCTCCCTCCGTGCATTTGCTCTCGCTTAGCCTAGCACGGCTTTACTCTCCACTATGACAAGGCAGCATTGAGTTCAATGTGAAGTCCCCCAGTTTCTGTGCTCTCCCTCCCCCAACTGCACAGACTCAGACCCCTCAGTGCAGCCACTGCCAGGGGGTCAGGGAGGAGTGGCATCAGTGATTCAAAGCTATCTCTCTAACCCTCTTCAATGCCTCTTTCAGCAATATGAAGTTAAAACCAATACTGTGATTGCTCACCTGATTTTTGGTTCTTGTGATGGTGCTTTTCTGTGTGTAAATAGTTGTTAAAATTTGGTGTTCCTGCAATGGGGATCAATAGTGTAGGCTTCTATTCTGCCATCTTGCCCTGCCTTCAATTTCTTGGAATAATTTAATCAATATTTAGTAGTTATATTATTGAGTATCCAAATATTTTTTGTACCCAACCCTCAAGACACAGTTCTTCCACAAATTGTAAGTTAGTGTTTAGAAATGTAACTGCAGGCTATCATGACAAAGAATTTTAAACCTAGAAGGAGCCTATTATCTTATGTCTGATCCCTAAGGTCATAACACCAAGGATGTGGATGCTTGTTTGCTGACGTTTACTCACCATTCCACCATGCTGCTTCCTGGAAATGTGTTATAATATTCTATATGCCCGCCAACAAGAATGACAGAGAAATCTTCCTAGACCTGCTACTTATAAAAGTGGGGAAGAATAGTCCAAAGTGGCTTGTTCTCATGGGTATGAGGCAGAACAATGACCCTTAAGAAAATGTGACTGAATATTGAGAATACAGAATAAATAGAAGGCAGCAAGTAAAGTACTCTTACATAAAATGCAGCAAGGATGTACAAGTTGCCCAAGGAAGGTTCAGCCTAGGAAGAGAATATGACTCATTATTTGTCAGTAATATACAAGCACATCACTGAGGACACTTAACATTTGGAAATTCTTTACAAAAATTTTATTTGAGATCTCAAGTCCTTATAAAAAGTGCATTACATCAAGATTGCAAAAGACACTTTTTAAATGAGAGACTTCTATCTACTCATCCATTTTACCCTATGATTCATTTCCTACCCTAACAGAAATGATTAAACAGTTTTTCTTTCTTCCTTTTCTTCTTCCTGCTTCTTCCTATTTGAAAGATACCCATGAGGGGTATCTTAACAGAATGTGCCAATTAATCCTTGCCAGGAGAGCAGTAGCTTCCTACTACCTAAATTTAGAGAGCTCTTGGCATTCCTTTTGTCGTGGCTCAAAGATTACTACAACCTGAATCTAAAAGATTGCAACCTACTACTTGTAATCTGTCTCCCTGGCCTCCTCTTTTACTCACAAACTCCACTCTAAAACAACCTTAAATTTTAAGCACTCAATAATTGCTTAATAAATGAAGAGATCTAAAGTTAATTAACTACTTTACCCTTGAAACTATTTTCTGTATAAGAATCTCAAAGTTAATAAAAATTATAGAGATGAAGAATGACCTAATACTAAGAAGGGGATGAATTCTGAGAGCAAATACATTTTACAACCCTTGTCTCAAAATAAGATCAATCCTACAAAATACAAAATGTTAAGAATACAATTTACACAGTAAAAATGATTTGATTTGTTTTCAGTATGAAAGTACTTTTAATTTCTTTACTGCAGGTACAATGGCATCCAAGTCATCAATTTCTGTAATACAAAAACAGTAATAATAAAAGAGAGTAACTTTTTCTAGTGGTAAACTCACATGAAACAAGAACCTATATGTAAAGGCAAACCCCAAACATAAAGACAACAATACTGGTGCTTTTGTGCACATGAAGTTTTTCTCCAATAGTGATGACAGATTATCACTGATTCGGATACAGATGCTTCACAGGGGCTCTGTTTATAAAGGTTACCACATACCTACAAGTACCCTCTGATTCTAGTATTAACTTCATTAGCAGCATGCCCTTATTAACAGATCCAACTGCCCATGTGTGTGGTATGTTAGTGTCTCATTAGATCTGTATCACTACATGGGTGTACCTACATGATGAAATCCCAGGTAGAGGCATCTCCTCCCTGGGTCTCCATGTGAGGACTTAGGAATTTCTACTCATAGAACAGTCTTGTCCTCTTTAATTTTCTTGGGAAGATTTCTTAGTAGCAGATCACTCTAAGATGAAAGGTATCTGCCGGCTGGGTGCAGTGGCTCATGCCTGTAATCCCAGCACTTTGGGAGACCGAGATGGGAAGATCATTTGCAGTCAGGAGTTCAAGACCAGCCTGGCCAACACGGTGAAAACCCATCTCTACTAAAAATACAAAAATTATCTGGGTGTGGTAGTGGGCACCTGTAATCCCAGCTACTTGGGAGGCTGAGGCAGGAGAATTGCTTGAACCTGGGAGGCGGAGGTTGCAGTGAGCTGAGATTGCATCACTGTACTCTGACCTGGGTGACAGAGAGCAAGACTATGTCTTAAAAAAAACAATTATCTGCCTAATCAAAAAGAGAGCCTCATCAAGAATACAAACCTCAAGTACAATGTATTATAGGGCTTAGCCTGGTCCAGCTTACCAGATAAACCAATCCAGGCTCTTCTTTGACAGGCTCTTTCTGAATGATTTTTCTTTCTAAGACTATCTTATTCCAACCAGCCTAAGTTAGAATTCACTCTCTGAAGCTCCTGGCCACCAAGGGAGCAAAATCCTTTTTCTCATTATCCAGATCCCAGGCCTACTTAAGGTAAGCCACAATGGCAGGTTCTCTAGATACCCACTACATTTTTCTAGCTTATTCTGTTAAGCCATCATTAATAAACACATTCCTTTACATAAAACATGCTTTCTTGGATTCCAACTCTCTCCACTGTTTAGCTGGATATTGGTGATACTGGTCGCTCTTCATTTAGCCTACACACATAGCCCATACTCTCCTACTATTCATTTAGTTCTTTAAGCTCCCAACTTCAGTCAGAATACCTGTCTGAATCCACTAACCAAGCATCAAGATATGGGAATGGAAACAATATAAGCAAACCTACAACATAGAATTTGTTTAGTCCCTTACATTGTGGTAAGGTACAAGATCAAGTTATTCCTTGACTCTGCCCTCTGCCCATTCTGAAATTACCTGTTTTCTCATTAAGTGAGAAACCTGCCTTACAAATGAACCTCACAGCAAAGGATCTTGGCTGATATGGGAATTTCCTCAGTCAATCACACCACTTACACGAGAAAAAGAATGGATTTTTTTTTTTTACTCGCTAAAGGTACTCTCTGTATCTGTTATTCAGTCTACCACCCTGCACCTACATGCTGAGTGACACCTATTAATTAAAAAAAGTCATGTTTGCCAGATTTAACTTTCCCAATGTTAAATATAATGTTTAACCTCAGAATTTCAACTTTGACCAAAATACAGAATTCATCTCCAGAGAAACTTGGCTTTCTGAAGCAAATGATCTTTATGAACCATGCTGAGTGTCATAATATCTGAAAGGAAGTTTCTATAGAAGCGTTCTGAAATAAGTGTTACCAGCACACCCTATTAAAATATGTTTATTAATGTGTCAAATATTTATGAATGATGAGAACATCACTGCTTAAGTTAATAGCAATCCCAGAGCAAGTAGAATCATATTATTCTATGAAACCAGGCTCTTCAGGATATCAGACAACACACTTACACAATTTCATACCTCATCTCAAGTTTAACTTTCAAATTACATTTTCACTTGCCATGATCTTTTTAAATATGAGGACAAGCCTAAAGCATGCTCACTCATTGTCTCCCTTGCTTCCCCAGTGCACATAAAACTGGTCACAAAACTTCCTTTATGTTCACTAGGCTATATATTCTAATTAGATACTTCTTTCACTTATTCTTCTTATCAAGTTTTCATTGACTCATTCCCTTATCTTCATTACCAAGCTTCATCTCCTCTTCTAAAAGCAAAGAGCCATTCTTTAAAAAAAAAAAAAAAATCTTTCGAATGAGCTATACAGAAAAAAAGAATTCACTTGTGCATCAATCACTTTAAAAATTATTCTTAATAGTAAGATAATGTTATAGCCATATGTAATTATATTTAAACTAGATAAGGTCTCTATTTTGCCTTATGAGTCCTAAGCAATTTTTTTCCTTTTAGGAGACACTACTACTAATGAAGCCCTCAATCTGACCCTCGGTATGAGTGTAATGTTTCATCTTTTCCTTTCCATAGATATTTATGACTTTATGTTACTTCGTATCACCAGAGAGGAAATGTTATTTGTATATTTAAAACATTTTGTAGACAGGTGGTATCTTAAGAAAAAAAAAAGAGGAAGGAAGGATCTTCTAAGATCATAAATCCAATGAATATTTCTCATTAGACAATGACAGAGCCAGGGTTAAACTAGGCATGGCCAGAGTGATGCCATCTCTCATGATAAGGTCCTCCAACAAAGGCAGTTCCTATCACTGTTAAGGGTCTGTGTTTCTGTTCTATGGACTAATCCCAACAAACTCTAACTGCTTGTAAGGAATGTGTTTCCAGAACTGTTAATGGCTTCCAACCACTAGATAAAAATACTAATCCAGTGACTAAGGAACACCCTTTTCTTAAATGCACTGACATTTTAAGACTCAAAATTTAACCATCACCGCCAGAAATCTTACCTAAGATTTCAAGTAGATCATTAGTAAATGCCTGAAATGCTGGGAAAAATTCCTCGTGTTCTTCCAATTTGTAGATAATGCTGTTTAAAAAATGCACAATTTAAACCTAATTTCTAACTTAGAGTTCTTGCATCTGATTGCAAACAGAACATTTTCAAAATAGAAACTATGCTGCTAATTTAAATATAAACTCAATGATCATTTACTACAGTCCTTCCTTTCTGAGCTTTTTGTTAATCTAATATGGCTTTTCTTTAAAAAGCATTTAAATATCAATGTAAAATTTGTTAAATTCATATATAACTTTTTTTTTTTTTTTTTGAGACGGAGTCTCACTGTGTCGCCCAGGCTGGAGTGCGGTGGCGCGATCTCGGCTCACTGCAAGCTCCACCTCCTGGGTTCACGCCATTCTCCTGCCTCAGCCTCCCAAGTAGCTGGGACTATAGGTGCCCGCTACCACGCCCGGCTAATTTTTGTATTTTTAGTAGAGACAGGGTTTCACCGTGTTTAGCCAGGATGGTTTTGATCTCCTGACCTGTGATCTGCCCACCTTGGCCTCCCAAAGTGCTGGGATTACAGGCGTGAGCCACTGCACCCGGCCAATATATAACATTCTTAACATGGCAAACTTTCCATTAAGCTCAAGGCTTCTTAGACAGACCATGCTTTTACAGCATTTTCTAAAAATAATTGGCTTTTATACCCAGTATCCTATTAAACATTAAGGAAAAATATCAGGCCGGGCATGGTGGCTCATGCCTGCAATCCCAACACTTTGGAGGCCAAAGCAGGAGGATCACTTGAGGTCAGGAGTTCAAGACCAGCCTGGCCAACATGGTGAAACCCCATGTCTACTAAAATACAAAAATTAGCTGGGCGTGGTGGCGCGTGCCTGTAACCCCAGCCACTTGGGAGGCTGAGGCATGAGAATTGCTTGAACCTGGGAGGCAGAGGTTGCAGTGAGCTGAGACTGAGCCACTGCACTCCAGCCTGGGCAACAGAGTGCGACTCTGTCTCAAAAAAAAAAAAAAATATTCAGTAGTCAGTAACACTGTGGGACGGAGGAAATAGGCCAGTAATAAGATATATGTTCCTTTTAAAAGCACCAACTGTCAGATTATGTAAGGGTTCTTCTAGGAAAACTTGCAAAATGTGGTTTATGTGGTATACATTGTGTGTTTCCCTTCACATATGCTGTAATATAAAACTGGGGGTCAGGTGTGGGGAAAGTTGCTTTAACTATAGCTACAATGTTTTGATAATTTTCTAAAAATACCAGGTTTTATGTTAGAGATGCCTAGTCTTTTAAAAAAATCCTTAGCATTTATCTTCTAATCAAATAAATATGCTATTAATGATTATTCAGTGGTCTATGGTAGTGTCCTAAAAATAGGACTTATTGATACGATCAGAACTTACATGATGTTGCTAACAAAGTTTGAATTTCTCCATATATAATATTCCATGAGAACAGGCTTATGCTGAAGAGTTCCTGACCTTCTTTATAGGCTTTACAATCTATTTTTATCTTGAAAATACTTGGCATTTCCTCCATCCCTAAGGGTTTGAGATTATCTTAGATTGTCAAGTTACTTAAAAGATGCTATTCCAAGGCTGGGCACGGTAGCTCACACCTGTAATCCCAGCACTTTGGGAGGCCAAGGCAGGTGGATCACTTGAGCCCAGGAGTTTGAGACTGGTCTGGGCAACATGGTGCAACCGTGTCTCTCTCTCTCTATACACACACACACACACACACACACACATACGCACACACACACACAAATTAGCTGGGCGTGGTGGTGTGTGCCTATAGTCACATACACACAGAAAAGATGCTATTCCAAACAGGGAAGGTAAATAAGTTTTAAAAGTCTTTAATTTCACCCCTCCATGAATTCTGGATAATATTTATTTTTATTTTTATTGTTTAGAGACAGGGTCTCACTGCATTGCTCAGACTGGACTTAAACTCCTGGGCTCAAGTGATCCTCCCACATCAGCCTCCCAAGTCGCTGGGACTACAGGCGTGTGCCACCACGCCCGGCCATTCTGGATGATACTTTGTAAACTTTTAAAACAAATACCTCTGGAGGTCTTCAGGTCCTAATACCTGCATAATCTGCTCATTCACATCTTCATTAATCAGCCTACAGAGTTTTCCAACAGTGCTTACCAGCACACACAATGAAGATGAACTATCTGCAAAAGAGAAATAAAAGGATATTTTAACAGAGAATTTTCAAAATTACATACATCAAACATTTTATGCTTCAGTTATCCTCAATTTTTTTCACTTAAAAATTTTTTTATCGGCCAGGTGCGGTGGCTCACGCCTGTAATCCCAGCACTTTGCGAGGCTGAGGCAGGTGGATCACCTGAGGTCGGGAGTTCAAGACCAGCCTGACCAACATGGAGAAACCCTGTTTCTACTAAAAATACAAAATTAGCCAGACATGGTGGCGCGTGCCTGTAATCCTAGCTACTCGGGAGGCTGAGGCAGGAGAATCGCTTGAACCCGGGAGGCGGAGGTTGCGGTGAGCCAAGATTGTGCCATTGCACTTCAGCCTGGGCAAAAAGAGTGAAACCCCGTATCAAAAAAAAAAAAAAAAATTATCTACTTTTTGTTAATTTACTAAAAATTCTTAAATGGGGGCCAAAAATGACAAACTAGGTCATCACCTAATTCTAAGAGTTCTTGGAGGTTTCTCACAGCATTGTTCATTTCTCCAAGCCTAGTATAAACTTCATTCATTCGAGGATAGACTCCATTTAAAGAAGGCACATCAAATAACTTTTGGAAGTGAGAGACAATAGCTTGCAAAGTTTGAAAGTTTGGCATATTGCTGTCCTGTCCAAAAGAGAGGTAAAAAATAAAGAGTTCATATCTTAAAATAATCCCAAATAAAAACTTTTAAAAGACAAACAGAACTCTAGTAGAACAAATATTAATATCCACATCAAATTATCAATTTTTGAGATAAGAGAACATTAGAATGTGACCATTTATGTAAGTATTACCTTTTCCTTATTTTCAACTTCTTCCAACATAGTATCTACTATAAACAACAAATCTTCAACTTTGATACCTTCATTTTCATCCTGCTTCTTCAAATTATGCCAAGGTACCAGTTCTGCAGATAGTGTTTTCAAGGACTTATACAAATCCTTTATAACAAAAGAAACTATATGGTATTATTGATTTAAATAATTTCAATAGTAACATAATAGAACATAACAAAATTATAAGTTTTATATATGTTTTATAAAATTAATAAAACAATTACACAGGTTAAATTATATATATATAACCATCAGTATTGTTTAATAAAAACACTATTACCGATTTAGAACAAGTCAGTTAAAATTAGGTTTCTCCAGGTAAACACAGGCTTTACAGAAAACATTATACACTGATTATTCTGAATCTGGGTGCTCTAAGTAATTTTATGTTACTTATTATTGTTCCATATTATTTCATTATTTTGAATTATTGATACACAAAGAATAAACTTGCCTTTGTATTGTGGTTTTGAGTATGTTATATAACAGCTTTATTGAGATGTAATTCATATACCATAAAATTTACCCTCATTAAGTATACAATTCAGTAGTTTTAATATTTTCACACATGTACCAACATCAGCACTATCTAATTTCAGAACATATCCATTACTCCAAAAAGAAATCTCAGACCCAGTCACAGTCCCTCCTTCCCCATTTTCCCTTCCCTGCAGTTCCCAGGGTTGATCTCTAAACTATATTATATTTCTAAGGATTTGCCTATTCTGGGCATTTTGCATAAATGGAATTATACAATAAGTAGTCTTTGATGAATGGCTTCTCTCACTTAGCATAATGTTTTTGAGATTTATTCATGTTATAACATGTATCTCCAGGCAAGTTTTCAATGTGAAAGGTTCCCCAAATTTATTCTACATTATAATACTCAGTTTTCTTGGCCTAGTTGTGGTGCCCTAATTGATTTTAAACTGTGCACAATGGGCAAGGCTACTGAAAGTTTAGAGCTCTAAACTGATCAACTGACAAATATTTACTGAACATCTACTACAGGTTGAGAATCCCTAATCTAAAAATCTGAAATGCTCTAAAATCTGAAACTTTGAGCAACAACATGACACTCAAAAGAAATGCTCATTGGAGCGTTTTGAATTTCGGATTTTTGGATCAGGGATGCTCAAATGGCATATATTCTGCAAATACTCCAAAATCTGAAAAAATTCTTAAAACACTTCTAGGCCCAAGCATTGTGGATAAGGGATACTCAATCCATATGTGTATGGCACAGTGCTTGGTCCTTCAGAACAATGCTGTTCAAAAGAAATGTAATGTGAGCCACAGGAATTTTAAGTTGTCTAGGGCCATAGTATGGAAAGTGAAAAGAAACATGTGATATTAACTGTAATAGTATATTTTATTTAACCCAATATATCCAAAATATTATCATTTCAATATAAAAGCAATATTTTACTTTTTTCCATACAAAGTCTTTTAAATCCAGTGTATATTTTACACTTATAACGCATCTCAATCAGGACTAGCCACCTTTCAAGTGATCAATAACCACATGCAGCTAGAGGCTACCATACTAGATAGCATAGCTCTAGAGAACAGAAAGAAGTACAAGACGTTCCTTCTTTTTCTAACTTATTTTAGTACTTCACTTGGCATTCTCCACTTAAGGCTCAGACTTCACATATTGGTATCTTTAACCTTTCAATTGGTAGGAAGGTAGTTACTATTATAGTAATTCATAGCAATAAATTTCATGTCAAATGAATGTTTTACCATCAGTGCCACTAGAATTTGAAAAAAAAAAAAGTCAGCAAATAACAGCATAATGATATCTTTATTAACCAATGCTCCAGCAACAAGGCACATTTATAAAGTAATCTATGGTAAAAAGCACACCCAATCTAATACATTTTTGCTTCAGAATAAAAGAGTATTACAAAGCTAAGAAGAAAAGATGTTCTGGTCTCCTAAGCAGTGACAGGATGGTTGTAGCACAGTCTATCAAGTAAGCTCTGAAAAATATAAGAGTCTCCTAGGTTCTTTACATTGCCCAGTTGTGGAGATGTAGAAGTACTACCATGGGCCAGCCTACCGTGTATGTCTGGCCTCTGAAGCACTAGAGAATAGGAAAGCGAAAGTATTCAAGAGTGTACTGGGTTGGGGAAAGCTACAACATCTGTAGTTCACCTTTCTTGGAAAGGCAGGAGGGAAAAGACACAAGGATGGAGGCGGCTGGCTCCATGTCTTTCCCAGCCTTCTTTTCTTCCAATTTTTAAAACTAGTAAAATACACATAAAATTTACCATCTTAACCATTTTTAAATGTAAGTTCAGTGTTATTAAATATGTTCATAGTGTTGTGCAACCAACACCACCATCCATCTCCATAACTCTTTTCATCTTGTAACACTGAAACTTTATACCCATTAAACAATAACTTCCCATTTCCCTCCTCCCTCTAGCAATCACCACTCTACTTTGTCTCTATGATTTTCACTAAGTATCTCATATAAGTGGAATTATACAAGTGGAATCTTCTTGTGACTTATTTCACTTAGCATAATGTCCTCCTAATGTTCACCCATGTTGCATGGGTCAGAATTTCTTTTCTTTTAATGGCTGAATAATATTGCAATATATGTATATACCACATTTTGCTTATCCACTCATTCCTCAAACCTATCCTACTCTTTAAAGCCAAATTAAACTGAGCGAAAAAACTAATAAGGGAAGATGGTTGTCCCAAACTTAGAGGTTGTTACATATCAAATAACCTTTAATATGAGGCCTCAGAGAATCTCATGCAGTTTCTTAATTCGGACCCTGAAACTGTAGTATTAATATCTGAAGCACTGCTCAAAACCCATGAGTTACTCCAACGGCAGAAGTAACTAATTCTTAATAATTTCCTCTTGGGTGTCCTCAGAATATTCTAATTACAAAGTGAATTCCTTGCCTCCTCCTACTCAGAAAACTATACAATAGCAAGAACTCACTACCACGGCAAAGCCTTTCTTGGGGGCTGTAATCAGAGTGTTCTCTTTCTCCTCCAGACTCTAGAGCACAAGTTATCTGCATCATTCACTCAGAACTTCATCACAGGTAATCTATTTTTATGTCACTCATTTCTTTTAATGATATCATAAATGATTACATTTTGTTTCATATTTTTAAGTATATTTTGTCTCTCTAATTAGTGTGAATCTTGTGTTCATCCCATAATGGCTTAGCATGATAAATGATCAATAATTATCCATTAATGTGATTCTTCCCTTTGTCTTCTTCCTCTTCTAGTCTTTTCTTCTAGGAAGGTTAGGGCTTTTTCTAGTCCTTCCCTTCTGAGGAGAAAGGTGGAGTCAGCACTGTTCCCTCCTACTGGGAGAACCCTCTGACAGGCAGTGATTGAGGAAATACCATGATTTACATGATTACTAATTATTTTACACTCTTCTGAGATACAGACTGGAGGAACTCCAGCCTATAAAGTAAGTATATTAATCCAGCACTGTCACTCAATCAAAATGTTTGTGTATTATGTAGCTCTGTCTGAGCCCTATATAAAAAGGCAAGTAGAAATTTAAAAAAAATTAACATCACCACCCCCAATTTTGTTGTCTTGGGATATATTATTCTGCTTCATTCCTTTAACAAATATTAATTGAGCACTCGTTCATCAGGAGGATCTTGGGGACATATCAGAACAAATAAAAACACTGTCTTCAGGGAGCTTATACATTCTTAACAGATATCTTCTGCATCACTTGTACTTCATGTAATAAGACTTCTGTTGCAAACACTATTATTGAATCACATTTTCATTAACAGGCGTATGCTATGTATTATATTAGTTACTAAGAAATCTAAAGTTTAAAGGGCAAAGAAGTTAAATACTACTGATTTCAACTATTTACCTTTCAGCAAACTAGTTAAAACTGAAAAAACCTGAAACCATGCAATACGCAATAACTCTATAAAGTAAATAAAATGTAGTCTTCCATGAATAGATAGGATAGGGAAGGGTAGGGTTGGCTGCTAGCTTACTATCTGTTCTAGAGAATAAGCAGAAATGGAGACAAGCTCAGTTCTGAGAGACAGAAAATAAAGTGTGAAGAGAGAGAAAATATCCCCAATTATAACGAAATGAAGGATAAGACATTATATCTGAAGAGGAATAAGGGCCAGGAAAATCGTAGCATGGACATACCAAAAGGAGGCAGATGAAGGTAGAACAGGGAAAAGCCTAGAAGTACAAAGTGGATCCACTATAGATTTTCAATAAGGAAATTAACCCAAAAATTTCTTGTTTGGTAGAGCCTTAGAGGAAGTAAAGCTTACAGTAATGACAACATCAAAACAGTATGTAAAATAGATATGTAAGTAGGAAGATTTCAGTTTTAGATAAGTTTTTTTAGCTTTACAGTTAACAAACAAAAAAATTAAACCCTATTTAATTTTTAGCCCTAAATTAAGTCCTATAAATAAAGCACATAGAGTCCAATAGATGTTCAAAGCATATAAAGAATAGTCAACCCCTTACCTTTAAGGATGTCAGTTGATCTGCCCACATTTCTATTATAGGAACAAGATGCTCAAATCCACAATCTTGAATAAGATCTTTATTAAAATTTTGGGCTCCCCCTTTGCTCTGTTTATAAATTATTACTGGAGCTCTTGGATTGTGGATAATTGAATTGATGCTACACAGCACCTTTAAAAAAAACATAGTGTATTTAGTCAAAATATTTATCCTATGCCTACAAAGTTATATATTTTAAAGGAGTGCTTTATGTCTATATATATTATATACATGCATTTCATTAAATATACAAAGAATTATCACAAGGAATTGGTTCATGCAATTATGAAGACTGACAAGTCTCAAGATTTGCAGTGAGTAAGTGAAGACCCAGAAAAGCTAATGGATATTTGCAGTCCAAACACAGGCAGACTGAGACCCCTGCAAGTGCTAATGTTTCAGTTTGAGTCTGAAGGCAGGAAAAAAATAGTGTCCCATCTTGAAAGCAGTCAGCGGGGAGGAGTTCCCTCTTATTCAGCCTTTTGTTCTACTCAGGCCTTCAAATGATTGGATGAGGCCTACCCCATTAGGAAGGGCAGTTTGCTTCACTAAGTCTACTGATTCAGATGTCAATCTCATCCAGAAGCATCTTCCCAGACACATCCAGAATAATGTTTAACCAAATATTGGGCATCCTATGCCACAGTAAAGTTGAAACAAAATTAACTAATACAAACACCCATATAATCACTACCTAGGTTCAACAATTGTTAGTATTGTGCCATATTTGCTCACTATCTATATTTTTAGGTGAACCATTTGAAGAAACTCTGCACCCTGAAATAATAAAGCGTGCATCTTTTAAAAGTAGGCATATTCTCCTACAAACCCACAAGACCGTTATCAGACTATTTAAGGAAATTAACAGTAATCCCCAGGCTGAGTAGGGTGGCTCATGCCTATAATCCCAGGTTGAGGCAGGAAGATCACTTGAGCCCAGGAATTCAAGGCTGCAGTGAGCTATGATAATGCATTCCAGCCTGGGCAACAGAGCAAGACCCTGTCTCCAAAAATAATATCATTGATGCCTGGATTGAATTTTAAATATCTTAATATATTAAGATAGTATACTATTTGACTATAACCCTCTCCCCATAAGTGATGAGTTCTACCTTAGATATCATCCAAGGATAAAAAGGGAGACCCCAAAAAGCATGTTTAAAGAGAGAAGAATAAAGCCATTTCCTATTACCACCATCAAGTTCAGCCTATTTAATAAAAAGTTTCACAATATAAAGATAGCATTTTGCTCCTGAATCTTCGTCCCTGGTCATACTTCAAGATATAACTAATAGGCCTCCTGGTAATATGACTTAATATGTTTATTATATTACTTCAGATGTTTATTTAGAAGCTTTTTAAGTCCAAATTAGTGTAATTCAATATTTCACTTCAGATTGATGTATGTATATATGTTTTATTTATTTATTTGACAGAGTCTCACTCTGTGGCCTAAGATGGAGTGCAGTGGTGCGAACAGAGCTCACTGCAGCGTTGAATTCCTGGGCTCAAGTGATCCTCCCATGTCAGCCTCTCAAGTGCTAGGACTACAGGTGCACGCCACCATGCCCAACTAATTAATTTTTTTTTCTAGAGATGTGGTCTCACTATATTGCCCAGGCTGATCTCAGACTCCTGGCCTCTAGCAATCCTCCTGCCTCGGTCACCCAAAGTGTTAAGATTACAGGCGTGAGCCACCATACCCGGCCTGAATTCCCCCTTTAAAGGACAAAGTCTCTCAAATTGAGTCTCAGAAACAAAATGAAATCCAGTTACATACTGGTACAAGAAAGTCTAAAACAAAACAGTTTTCAGAAAGGTGCTTGGTTCCCATTTACAATAGCAATAAAAGTTATAAAATACCTAGGAAATAGCAAGGTATTTCCTAACAAGAAATATGCAAGAGCTAAATTAAAAAATACACAACACTTTATTGAAGACTATAAAAGATGACCCTGATGAAAGTACATATTTCTCTGAATGTGATGATTCAAAAAGGTTAAGGTGTCATTTCTCCAAATATTAATCCATAAAGTCAATTCAGTTTTAGTTCATCTCAATGGGATTTAGTTTTTAATTTGAAAACTGTTCATCCAGAAGAATAAATGTGCTAAAAATATAGCCAATAAAATTTTTTTTAAATGACAGGATACTTGCCTCAAGGGCTATTAAAACTTATAACTATAGAAATTAATATATGGAAACAGTTGAGAAATGCAACAGACTAGAGAATCTAAAAACAAATCTGTGCATATAAAGGAATATGATCTATGATAAAATGTTATTTCAATAAAGTAGAGAAAAAAGTAGCGTATTAGAGACTGCAAACACAGACACCCAGAGAATCCAGGTACGAGTATAAATGAGTGAAGTAAGGATGAATAGCAACTGGCTAACTACAGAACACATGCTCATATCTGACAAGGGAAAGGCCTAATTCTGCTGTGATAATAACCATGCAGGAATTTGTTGCCAGATCTTCTGACTTTTTAAGAGAAATTAGAAATAGCAGCCTAGAAAAAATAAAATATCTTAATTTTTAAAAAAATGAATAATCTAAAATTTAAAAATCTTATGTGTACCCAATAAAATATGAGTGAAAGTCCAGTTCAGTCACTAAACTACCAGGTTTAACTGCTCAGCTATTCAATAAATGATCTGTAAAACTAGGAAGGTGAGATTCCCTATATCACACCATATAGAAAATTAATTTCAGATGAACTAAGGTCTCTACACAAAAACAAAAGCCATACAAGGACCCTAAGAAAATAGATTTACTTATATAATAATAATAGCAACAAAAGAAACAAGAAGAGGGAAAATGGCTTACAGGGGGAAGGAAGGAAAAGGATTATAAAATCTTTAAAAAATCTTAAAGCTCTTTACTAACCTGCTTTCAACTAGGCCCAGAGTCTCCTTTAAGTAGTAAGATGAAGTCTACAATGTTTTTAGTCAAACAGTTAGTTATATCACAGAAAGACAAAACAGAATAAGTACACATAAATATGAGGTGCAAGTATTCCTTACCAACTGATAATTTATTACACTGCAACTGATAACCAAGATTCATGACGAACATCAGTCTTTTTGTCATGAAAAATCAATTCAATACCTGAAAGTATCTCTGGTCAATTAGGGCCTGTTGCTGATTATATTTGCTGGGCTCATCTTTTTTCTCTGTGTCCTCAGCCTTCTTAGGACTAATAAGCTCCTGTAATCTAAAAGGGAGAAAAAAATCAAGATAATGCAAAATTATTTCCTAGACACTGGACCAAGATGATAAACTAAGTAAATGATCCAGTCACCCTCCCAACAGCCTTATATCAGTTCACTTATATGTATGTGTGCACACATATATGTATGTATATTTATAAACATATATATATATGCCTATATAGAGTTAAAAAAAATTTTTTTTTGCGACGGAGTCTCGCTCTGTCACCCAGGCTGGAGTGCAGTGGCGCGATCTTGGCTCACTGCAATCTCCGCCTCCCGGGTTTACACCATTCTTCTGCCTCAGCCTCCCGAGTAGCTGGGACTACAGGAGCCCGCCACCATGCCCGGCTAATTTTTTGTGTTTTTAGTAGAGACAGGGTTTCCCCATGATAACCAGGATGGTCTCGATCTCCCGACCTCGTGATCTGCCCGTCTCCGCCTCCCAAAGTGTTGGGATTACAGGCGTGAGCCACTGAGCCCAACCAGAGTTTAAAAAATTTTAAATCATATTGTCACTGGAAAACAAGAAGGCTCTCTCAATAAATAGCAAATCTGAAGGAATCTCTGAAGACAGAAGAGATCAGATGGAAGAAGAAAGTTCTAACCAGCCCCCAACACCCACAAAAGACAGCACAAGAGAGAAATACAACAAAGGATGGAAGCGACTTCCATCCAAGGTGCTCCAAGCTTACAGACTATAGATAAAGGGAGCAGGAAGCGTGGGAAGGGCCACTGGTTTGGGTACTGTAGCAGGAACAGCTAGACGTTTGGTCCCTCTCTCTTTGTATTCTACTAACAGCAAAGAACAGACAACGGCGATGCCTGGGCCAGTCAAGAGGGCATGGAGATCCAAGAGACCATTATTCCAGGTGGCTGCTAGAATGCTGGGGGAAAGGAGAGTCTCTTTACCCAGAAATACAACTATGTATAAGTGTATCCACCTAGTAGCAAACACTTGTCCTTCTCCAAATATCTAGAAGACAGCTTGTAATAATCTTTCTCCTCCCTCCTCATGCCTTTGAAAACAGTACCGTAGTACATGCTGATCCGTAGTTTCACTTTCCATGGTTTTAGTTACGCAAGGTAAACCAGGGTCCAAAAATACTAAAAGGGAAATTCCAGAAATAAGTTTTAAAATTTATTATTATTTTTTAATGCGCACTACTCTGAGTAGTGTGATGAAATCTCATACTGTGCCACTCCATCCTACCTAGGATGTGATTCATCCCTTTGTCCAACTTATCCATGCTGTAACTGTATACACTACCTACCAATTAGTCACTTAGTAGCCATCTTGGTTATCAGATCAACTGTTGGGTATCACAGTGCTTATGTTCAAGTAACAACCCTTATTTAACTTAATAATGGCCCCAAAATGCAACAGCAGCAATGCTGGCAATTTGGACATGCCAAAGAGAAATCATAAAGTGCATCCTTTAAGTGAAAAGGTGAAAGTTCTCCACTTAAGAAAAAAATTGTATGCTGAGGTTGCTAAGATATACAGTATGAATGAATCTTCTACCTGTGAAATTGTGAAGAAGGAATAAGAAATCCGGGCTAGTTTTGCTGTTGGACCTCAAACTGCAAAAGTTACAGCCACAGTGTGTGTGATACATGCTTAGTTAAGATGGAAAAAGTGGCTGGGCACGGTGGCTCACGCCTATAATCGCAGCACTTTGGGAGGCCGAGGCGGGAGGATCACGAGGTCAGGAGTTGGAGACCAGCCTGGCCAACATGGTAAAACATCGTTTCTATTAAAAAAAACACAAAAAACAAAAAACAAAAAACCAAGCATAGTGGTGTGTGCCTGTAATCCCAGCTACTCGGGAGGCTGAGGCAGGAGAATTGTTTGAACCCGGGAGGAGGCAGAGGTTGCAGTGAGCTGAGATCATGCCATTGCACTCTAGCCTGGGCAACAGGGCGAGACTCCATCTCAAGGAAAAAAAAAAAAAAAAAGATGGAAAAAGCATTAAATTTGTGGGTGGAATACATAGACATAAATATGTTCCAATTGATGGTGATTGGGTTTGGTTCTGAGGTCTCAGGTATCTACTGGGGGTCCTGGAACATATCCCCCATTGATAAGGGGGGACTACTGTAGTCTCTTAATAGTCCTTCAAATTACCCCTCTTCAATTTGAGTATGCCATCAGTTTCCTGCTGGGACTTCAACCCACTAAACTGACTCCTATGACTCATTAATGATGCGCTCTGCCTGCTGTTTGTAAAAACAGAATAGTAAAACTCCATCATGTCATTTTCCTGTTGAAAAACAATCAATGATTTCCCATTCCTTTATGTGCTAAATCTAATTTCCTTGGGCTAGCGTTCAAAACTCTCCATGCTGTTAGTCCTAACAGAGTATTTCGTTCTTTTTTTTGGAGATGGAGTCTCACTCTGTCACCCAAGCTAACTGGGTCATGCAGTGGCATGACCTCACCTCACTGCAACCCCTGCCTCCTAGGTTTAAGCGATTCTTCTGCCTCAGCCTCCCAAAGTGTAGCTGCGACTACAGGCATGCGTCACCATACCCAGCTAATTTTTGTATATTTGTTTGTTTGTTTGTTTTTAGTAGAGAGGGGGTTTCACCATGTTACCCAGGCTGGTCTCAATCTCCTGACCTCAGGTGACCCACCCGCCTCAGCCTCCCAAAATGCTGGGATTACCACCGCGCCCGGTCAGTCCTAACACAGTATTTCTCCTGACTCCTTTCTTACTTGATTCTACTACTTCCCTACAATTACCCACTCCAGTCACATATATTCCCCTTATATTCACTCAATTGCTATTCTCTGCTATTTCTAGTGAGTATATATATATTTGGCCCAAGCCAAATTATAAATGACTTCCTATCTATTTACTACATTCACATTCTTCAGTTTTGCCTAAAGGCAGTGCCAAGAGCATATTATCCAGAACAAAAAAGGACACAGAAAAGCTGATGTGGCCTCTAGAAGGACTAGAAGTAAACTGATATATCTGAATTTAAATGTTAGTTCCTTTCACTTAGGTGAAAATGTTCAACTTATCAATGAATTGTTTGCAAATCTGATTAATAAATGTTACACTGTAGATATACAACATTTTTGCTGTCAGTGCAATAATCTAAATATATAATTGCATGTACTGATTAGTTGCTCTGGGAAATGAAATGTGATTCTATTAACCAGATGAATAAAGAGATACATCCTCGCTTAATAATTACAGTAACTAAAATTTACTGGGAGTCTAATGATGGTAACTAGTAGGTACTGAGAGCCTTCTCTATGCAGGAATTCTAAGCACTGTACATGTATTAACTCATTTAGTCCCATTGTTTTTCTAAGTTTATATAAGACAATGATTAGTAAAAGCTGGGGACTCAGGAAACTGTTTCACCTAGTCTCACAGAAAATATCTGCCATTAACAGTACTACTGAAAAACTTCACATTCTGCAAAATCATGCAATTAATTAATTAACAGGGCTCAGGAGAAAACAGTATTAGAAACCAAACTACTTACAACTGATGTAGCTTTAGAACTGGAGAATAAAAACAATAATTGGTGCCTCAGGAGTTAAGTTGGACAGATCAAGCATGTCTGGAGGTTGCCTCAGGATATATTAAAAATGCACAGACAACAAAGAAGAAATGTTGGCTTACCCATGCCAAGACAAGAAGACTGAAGTGGAGCCCTGGGCCAAAGAAGCTGAGGTTAAAATGGGCAAGGGAGGAAGTGCAACTTGCTTCCAGCCTATAGTCTGTCTAATGCTGGGGGTCAGGGAAGGAGCCCAGGGTACTGTTGGCTCATTCTAAATTTTCTTAAACGAGAGCTAAAAGGGCACTTGTCTATGTACTAGCAAAGCTTGCGCCCTTCCTGAAGGCTATAACTATTACTGCTGTTATTATAGTGCCTTGAGTCTAGGAAAAATGATACATGTACGATATAACTTCCATGTTATATTGCTGATGATTTCCTCATTTTCTATCTGTATGACTTAATTGTCATTTTAGAAACCTGTGTTGTAGCTGCCTGGGCTGTACTCAGAAATATGGTAGAGTTGTTCTACAGTATCCAGAGCAGTCAGGAAGGGCCTGAAAGATAATAAAAATCCCCTAGGAGTGGCTAAGGGGTACTCTGCATGCTTTGCAGACTCTTACTCCATGTATTCAGCAGCAGCAACTATGTTTTTTTGTGGACACTGAGAAAACAGAAAACTGTACCTCCAACTTAAAATATGCTGTGTTATCTATTTTGTATAGCCATCTCCATAAGATAACTTTCCATGTGCAGAAACTTTACAGCTTTTAACTGTGTTCTGTTAGAGCTTTTCCGTGATATCACAGTGGAATAAGATCCATGCTGGAGATGAGGAACAAGTTAAAAAAAGGACTGCCAATTTTGTTTTTAAAAATTCCACTAATTTAACTACATTAATGCAAAACACATAGGTGCATCAGTGTGAGCTTTTCAAAGCTATATTGTTCGCCGAGTCTTTTACCCTACTATCTTAGGACTTCCTAAGACAGTTAGTGATGAAAAGAGGGGTGGTTCACTTCAACCCAGCACCAGTGCCAAACTCTGAAGGCAAGTGTTTCTCTAGTTGAAAAGTCCAGCTCCTGGCTAAAATCCAATGTGTTATATTTCAGGCACAGACATAGGTAATTACAAAGGCTTTGCCTAGAAGATCTCTTGCGGGGAAAGCTGTCCTCTCCACACCAGACATGATGCACAGCCTGTGCACTGCAATCTCTGGAGACAGTTGCAGTCAAGGACACACCACCTCCTTTCCTTCCTGAAAGCTATACTACTACTACTGTTATTCTAGTGCCTTGCCACAAGCATTTCTGCATTCCTACCCTAGGCACCTCCATTAGGGGCCTCTTGGAGCTTAGACTGAGTCATGTGTCAAGTACCTCTATCCAAGATCTTCTCATTGGTGGAGAAGCCTTAATTAAAATACTTTTCTCCACTCTGACTCAGTACTTTTCCACTCCTAGCCTTTCTTCTCCCTACACCTTAAAACAGTAGGAATCTTTTGTGCAGGGCTCCTAGGCAGTGAGATGGTTCCCCCCATCTGGGTGTATGTCAGACTGTTCCTCGCGCCTGGTGCTATTCCAATAAGGAAAAATGCAACATCGAGGAGTCAGCCCTTTTCATTTTGGCCTCTTGTTTATCCTATAGCAGTAAGTTAACAGTTTGACTGTTAATTTCACTTTGGCTCATTGGCCTAACCACTTCAAGGACTGTCAGCTCAACACAGAGTGGCTGTAAGATTTTGTTTTTCCCCTAGCAAAACATAAATACTATTGAAAAATTAAATGAGGGCCGGGCACGGTGGCTCAAGCCTGTAATCCCAGCACTTTGGGAGGCCGAGACGGGCGGATCACGAGGTCAGGAGATCGAGACCATCCCGGCTAACACGGTGAAACCCCGTCTCTACTAAAAATACAAAAAACTAGCCGGGCGAGGTGGCGGGCGCCTGTAGTCCCAGCTACTCGGGAGGCTGAGGCAGGAGAATGGCGTAAACCCAGGAGACGGAGCTTGCAGTGAGCTGAGATTCGGCCACTGCACTCCAGCCTGGGCAGCAGAGCGAGACTCCGTCTCAAAAAAAAAAAAAAAAAAAAATTAAATGAAATTAGTGTAGTACCTTTGTTTATCTTACAGAGGCAGACTTATTTAATCACTTCCTAACAAGGTAATTTTATAATCAGCCTGTTTGTAATAATAACTCAAGAAGAGTCCATGTTCTCCCACATTAAATTGTTAATAGCCTTATTTGACATTGAAAGTTTGTTAACTACAAATCTAAAAAAAACCACAAACTAACTCAATTTTCTTTGGTTCCAAAAAGAAAAGAGACTATACCCTCTTCCATTTCTTGTAGCATTTCCTTTGGAAAATCTGTAACTATAAATCCTTTACTCTCTTTAAGATGTACATAAATCTTAATAGGAGCTAAATAAGGCTCTTGCCAGTTTTGAATTTCAGCAATGTCTTTCTTGGGGGCTTTGGAATCATTTCTTTGAAATGTGAACATCTCGGAAGATGGTACCTTGTTTCCCTGACTCTGTTGGAATTTTGTCTAGGCTCCTGGCCTCAAGTTGTAACCTCTTACTTATCAAAAAACAATAGAAGTTTTTATTTTTCCTTTAATACAGATAATTAACATGTATATAATGGATTGTATCTGCCTGGCTATACAAAAAGGTGACATTTCTTTCTGTCCTTGCAATATCTCTAACAGATTGCCTGTAATGTGCGTCACAATCTGATTGAATCTGATTGAATTCAGTAATAAAACTGTTTCTTTTTTTTTTCCTACATTTGTAAAGAGAATTCACTGGATGGACAGGAGAGTTTAGTTTTAATTATTTCCCCAGCATCAGTAGTACTCTGAAAAAATATGCTACCTCTGGCACTACAGAAATAAAAATTTTTTAAGTTTTACCTTGAAAAGTAAATTTTTTTAAGTTTTTTAAGTTTCTTTAATTTTAAATTTCTTAAGTTTTAAAAATATTTTCTGTTTTTTAAGTTTTACCTTGCAAAGTAAAAATTTTGTAAGTTTTACCTTAAAAATTTTTGTTTCATTGAGTGTTCTGTTTACTTCTAACTGTATGGTATCTAAGAGTATAAGTTTTGGAGTCAGAATGATTGGATAAGGATCTGATTTCTATTCAAGTTCTTCCATATACGAGTAACCTGTATAACTTGGCTAAATTATATAACACTCCCAAATTTGTTTCCATGTCTAGATACTACCAAAGTTTTAAACTTTAAAAAGAGATTTAAAAACAAAAACACATCATTTCTTCAAAATTTAGAGGAAAAATGTAGCAGAAATTGGGTCTGAATCATAATTTTAAAGGACGATAATAAAAGTCACTCTAAAGACCAGAGCTCAAATAAACAACAACAACAATATATATCTATATGCAGTCAATTCTCATTATTCATGGTAGTTATGTTCTATAAAATCACCATGAATGCTGAATTAGCAAATATTGAACCACTTGCTCCTAGGGGAAATACAGGGTCAGGTTCCTGCAAGTCTGGTCACATTTTCCTTAAATAATCAATATATAACCTTGTTGTATGTATGTTTCTATTTAAAGATACCTTTAAAATATATATATAGTTGATTCATTAACATTGAACCCATGGACAACAGTACTCTATAAGTCATACCTGATAAAGCTTATCTAATAGGTATATTTTTTCCACAAGGCATATTATAGCCTTCTTGTGGATAAGAACACCAAACAGCACTTCAGCACTAACTCAGGGGCCATCTTAAAGAAATCACCAACAAAAAGCATAGAAATGAAAAAAAAAAAAAAAGGTATCACTAAATAGATAGGAGAAAAGGACATTTGTTTACAGTGTGACAGCTCAAACAACAGGGCAGGGCATCATCTTGTTTGAAAACTAAACATATGTGTGTTGGGTGACCCAAATTATTTTCCGCCCTGTACATGTCCATGAATGACTGCAGGTGCCGTACGGATTTTGTGATTATAAATAAATTTTAGCAGGTAGGCAAATTCATAAATATGGAATCTATGAATAATGAAGACTATGTATCTCTATGTATGCATAAGTGCATGCATGTGTGTACGTGTGTGTGTGTATCTTATACACTTGCTTTAGAGTCAACAGGTTTCCTTCTCTTTTTACTTCCCTACATCCTCCTCCTCCCAGTTGTTTCTCTCTCAATCTCCTATCTCATTAATGGCACTGACAACCACCTTGTTATTCAAGGTTAAAACTTGGGAGACTTCTGATTCTTCCTTTTTCCCCACAACTCCCTATATTCAACTCATCATGAAGTCCTATTGGTTCTACCTCCATTCTCCAATTCCAAATACTTCTCATCACCTCCACTACTGCCACCTTTGACCATGTCACTACCATCTCTTCTCCAAACTCATATAATGGCTACTCACCCAGTAGTGTACGTTTAGTACTTATAGTATATTGAAATTGTCTTATTTATTTTTTCATTATCTTTCTCCCTGCATGTAATCTCTATGAGGTCGGGGGCCTTTTCTATTTTGCTTACCACTGCAACCAGTGCCTAGAATGCCAAACAGATGTAAGAAGAATTGGAAGTACACCAAATATCAAGGAATAGTAGGAAGGGAGTAATTATTCATTGAATATGCATGCATCCTTTCTGAACCTGCCACTTTTCTTTTTTAGTTTTCCTCCTCTATTACCTTGTTTTGGGGGAGAGGAGGGGTGGAGGGACAGGGTCTTGCTCTGTTGCCCAGGCTGGAGTACAGTGGTGTGATCACAGCTCACTACAGCCTTGACCTCCTGAGCTCAAGCAATCCTCCCACCTCAGCCTCCTCAGTAACTGGGGCTACAGGTAAGCACCACCACACCTGGCTAATTTTTAAATTCTTTGTAGAGACAAGGACTCACTACATTGCCCAGGCTGGTCTTAAACTCCTGGACTCAAGCAGTCCTCCTGCCTCAGTCTCCCAAAGTGCTGGGATTACAGGTGTGAGCCACTGCACCTGGCCCCTATTATTTTAACCCAGTATGTAATTACTCGTTACTCATGATACTTGCCTGTCACTGTGTTATGTGTTGCCACAGGAAGGAGGAAACACAGCTGTCACTGAACTGAATCATATATGCTAATACAATTGACTTAATACATTTAATGCATATATTAACTCATAGCTTTCAAAATATTTCATCCCAACACTCCCCAAACTACTTTTTCAAATCCCATTCCCTTGAATCAAAGAGTACACATACATAATCTTCAGAAAACACAATCACTGTTTGAGATCAACTCTTTGAAACACTGAGCACTTGCTTTCCAAAGTCAGGAAGGGTACAAGCAGTAGATATAAATGGCTCACTGCATTCCTTCTGGTACTTTTAAAGTGTGATAAGGCTCACTTTAAAACATTCAGATCATAACTACCAACAACAAAAATTGGAGGCTTGTCACTTCTAATTTCATTGATTCTCTTGCAATTCTTCCATTACTTCCGAAGACAATTTTCTATTTAAAATCTTTGTCCTTTATTACTTCAGGCAACTACCTTTTTTTGTTCTCACTTAAGATAAATATATAGCCAAATCCGGCATAGTAAAAATTGCTCTTAAACTGTGAAACCAGAAATACCCCCTTTTAATGTCATCAGCCTGGTAGGTCCAAGTCAAAGCCACTAGGAGGTAGCATAAGCTGACATGTAATAAAAATAAATAAAATAAGGCCGAGCACAGTGGCTCACGCCTGTAATCCCAGCACTTTGGGAGGCCGAGGCAGGCGAATCACGAGGTCAGGAGATCGAGACCATCCTGGCTAACATGGTGAAACCCCGTCTCTACTTAAAATACACACACAAAAAAAAAATTAGCCAGGGGTGGTGGCAGGCTCCTGTAGTCCCAGCTACTCGGGAGGCTGAGGTAGGAGAATGGTGTGAACCTGGCAGGTGGAGCTTGCAGTGAGCCCAGATTGCGCCACTGCACTCCAGCCTGGGCGACAGAGCAAGACTCCATCTCAATAAATAAATAAATAAAATAAAAAATCCTAATAAAAGCAGTAATTTTGGTAAAAATATAATTACTTGACACTTTTCTTAAGGGCTTTTTCCAGCTTCTTCACCTGCTGTTTATAAAGTCTTAATTCATGCTGTGTGGGCCTGTGGAAAATAAATAATGATAAATTAATTCAATTTACTGAATAAAACCATAAAGGTACTTAAATAAACGACATACAATACTTTGTTACTTGTCACAAATATACTTATTAAACTTCTGAAAATATTTCATGATTGCTAATTTGGTGTTTACCAGCCATTTAGATTTCTTCTTCTCTGTTATCCCTTATTCAAAGCCTTTTAGTTATTTTTTGCTGCTAATCTATTACTTGTTTTTATAGTGAAATATTTCAGGTATACAGACAAAAACAGAGAACATTATAACAAATCCTGGTGTATACACCACCTAGCTTTATCAAATTTGAATATTAACAGATTATGATTCAAATCTTAAACTTTATTCATATACTTAAAATTCCACATGTCCCTCATTAATGTCATTCTTCTCCTTCCCATACCATAGATAACCACTATCCTTAATTCACTGTTCATTATTCCCATGTATGTTTTAAAATTTTTACTATTTAATCATAAATTTACATATTATTGTGTTCAAGGTTTTCACATTTTATATAAATGACTTATGCTAGGTATCAGGTCCCTCTCTCCATTAAGGTGTAAGTTTTTTGTTGTTGTTGTTGTTTCTTTCTTTTGAAACAGGGTCTCACACTGTCGCCTAGGCTGGAGTGCAGTGGCACGAGTTCAGTTCACTGCAACCTCCGCCTCCCAGGTTCAAGCTATTCTCCCACCTTGACCTCTTGAATAGCTGGGACTACAGATGTGCACCACCACCCCTGGCTAATTTTTGTATTTTTTTGGTAGACACAGGGTTTCACCAAGTTGGCCAGGCTGGTCTCAAACTCCTGACCTCAGGAGGCCTGCCTCGGCCTTCTTAAGTGCTGGGATTACAGGTGGGAGCCACCGTGCCCAGCCATTAAAGTATAAGCTTATTGAGAACAGGAAATTTGTTTTGGTCTCTTCTTCATCCCAGAGTTTGGGACAATGTCTAACTTACAATAGGTATTCAAATACTTGTTGAATGAAAACAAGACTCAAAAATGTTCATTCTTTATTACTGTCAACATAGAGAGTGTCATCCTTTTGTAGCTATGCTGGATATAACTTTCTGTTGTGTGCCATTATAAATTTTACTTTTCTTCTCATCCCACAGCACAGGAATAAGAACAACAAGGCATTCCAGTATAATTTGAGAATGAGAACTCTGCTGGTATAAGACTGAATCTAATATAGTAAATATTAATGTATTGTACATTTCAAAATCACTAAGAGTAAATTTCAAACGTTTTCAACCACAAAAGGTATTAGATGATGGATATGTTAATTAGCTTGATTTAATTATTCTGCATTGTATTCATGAATCGTAACATCACTTTGTGCCTCATAAATATATACAGCTGTAATTTGTCAATTAGCAATTAAAATAAAAATTTAAGATAATAATCATGCTGAGTGAAAGACAATAGACAAAAAAAAGTAAATATTGTATAGCTCCACTTATATGAAGTCTAGGAAATATAAACTAATGCATAATGACTAAAAGCAAACCAGTGGTTACCTGAGGCAAAGGCAAAGAGAGGCAGCAGGGATTACAAAACAGGCAAGAGATAACTTTTAGGGTTTTTGTTTTGTTTTTGTTTTTAAGAGACAGGGTCTCTGTTGCCCAGGTTGGAGTGTAGTGGTATGAACACAGCTTACTGCAGCCTTGACCTCCCTCCGGGGCTCAAGCGATCTTCTCACCTCAGCTTCCTTAATAGCTGGGACTGCAGGAGTACACTACCATGCCTGGCTAATTTTTTACATTTTTTTCTAGAGACGAGGTCTCACGTGTTGCTCAGGATGGTCTTGAACTCCTGGCCTCAAACAATCCTCCTACCTGGGCTTCCCAAAGTGCTGGTATTATAGGCATGAGCCACTGCACCTAGCCTCCAAGGTGATTATCTGGATTATAACTGTTTCGCAGGTGTATACACATAATTCAATAAATTGTGTACTTTACATATATGCAGTGTACTGTACACCAATTGTAACTCATTAAAGCTATTTTTTTTTTTT